GCCTGGCCAGTCCAATGTTCTAAGTAATAGGATAATTTGAACTTACCCTTTGTGGCAATCAGAATTTAAAGATGCCGAGATGGATGGGGGATGTTGAGTCTGAGTCGGGTGTGACCAACCAGTCTTCGGATGGATCAAGTGAAAACATATTCGACGGCTACAGCTCAGACAGTTATGGATCCGAAGTGGTAATGCACTATTCAAGTGAGTCGGAAGAGATGGACTTTGTTGATATTCCAGTACATCCGTAATACGCGGTAGGCCACCAACACTACGGTCTAGGCCCGAGACCGTGTTGCCAACAAGAAGAAGTTGAACCAGAAGAGGATTCCGAAGAGGATCTGGAAGAAGTCCAAGTTCCCAATGATCAGATGCCAGAACCGGAAGTTATCGTTATTCCGGATTCACCAGAGCCTCCAATTGTCCCTATAGTTCCACATTTTTCTGAAGTCATTATAATCTCGTCAGATAGCGAAGAAGGAGAAAGTCCCATACGGATGCCGTTTGTTTCCCAAGTGTTACAGTCCCAGACGTCAACTCCGGAGCAAGTGGTACCAGAGATTACTTCACCACCAAGTGTGGATACTTACCCACACAGCACCGAGTAATGGGAAAGATACATAGAAAGGTTTCGACAGTCAGAGTCCTACCGGGATTGGAATAATAGGAACGTTCCGCGGATTATTCGGGATTTTCAACCAGTTCCAACATACACACCTGTTGGGAATCCCATGGGAATCAGACATGAGTCTTACAGAATATCAAAAGCAGTACAAGACTCGAGAGCACTAGGACCTAGTAGGGGATACGGGATCCAATATTCTTCACCCACAACAACGTGGTGTCGACTATGCGGGTTAAATGGTCATGTGTCCTACTTCTACCCAACCCAGAACTGGAAGGACAAAGTGGTTAGTGTGATTTGTGCTCACTGTGGAAGAGAAAGACATCGAGGAAGTGAGTGTCCCATCATCCATCCAGAGATCACGTTTATCCCAACCATGACTCAGACCACGACTCACCCCTCATCCAGCGGCCCAGCTTCATTCGAAACCTTAGGGGGTAGGCTATGTTCCAGATGTAGGTACCCTAAGACCCACCGCGCCAGGTATGATGGGTGCTAACTCTTATCTTTTGTGTGAATGATAAGCTAAGATAATCGGATATAACCTGGTAACCTAATTTTAGGGCTAGTTCCAAGATCAGGTAATGCTTAGTGGCTTGTTGTATCAAATCGATTAGAAACTGGACTCGAACTTATGTAATATTTTGGATGAATAATGTTTAAATATTTTGCATGATGTAATGCTTACTACCTTTGAATATTTTAAGTATTTTGCGTGGTTGGATGCTTAATACTTATGAATGTTTAAAGTGTCTGCATTGTATGATGCTTGGTACTTAGGTATGAACTATCCTTAATATTGCTTACGATTTGTTCTCAGTTAAAATCCATTAAGTTAGGGTCTGCCGAAAACCAAAGGATTATAATAAACTGGATTTTTCTAAGTCTTGCTAAGTGATTGGAATCTAGACCCGAGAAGTCTAAGTCTAAGTGATTGGGACCTTGTCTAGAGCATAAGGGAAACCTATAACCTAAAACTTGAAACCGTTCAAGGGAAATGACCAAGAGGAAACGGTCGGATATAGTAAGGGAAAAACCAAGGATTGGTTAAGCGGATTCATAGAAGGAAAGAATGAGTTGAAATAAGCAGAATTTTGGCTAAGTATGGAGGAGGTAACGAGATCAAGTTTGATCTCTCTCAGATAATTAAAGAAAGAGGCAGTCGAGATTTAAAGATCCCAATCTGAGAAAAGTCTAAAGCATCAGATTATTACCAAAGAGTAGACCCTAAGATGCTCATGGAAAGGTGGTATTGAAAAGAGAAATGTGTTCAAGAAGAAAAAGTCTAACGTCAAGGAAAGAAAATTTATATTACACTTAAAAAGGAACCTTAAAGAATTCGGGGACGAATTCTAGTAAGGGGGGAGAATGTTATAACCTGCACCATGACTATGGCCGATCGCTCGGGTAACTATCGTGACCAGAAGCCAAGTAGAACAATTATAGAAGGAAGCGTTAGCGCAAAATAAGTTAAGTAACAACAGGAGAAAACTCAGTTGGCCAGGAAAAAAAAATGGACCCAAGGCACCGTCTAGGTATCACAGCATCAGTACAATGGATCCGTACTGCGGGACCAAAGATCACTCACCACAAGACTAAAGACCCGAGTATGAGACGGGAACATCTTCCTAGGACTGATCCAGGTTGGACCACGACCTAGTCGGGTTAGTGGATGAGAGTGAGCCACGTCCACTCTGCGGGTAGTTGGTAAAATTCATGGACGGGAAGGAGCCACACCGAGCTCGAGTTATACTGACACCCGTCATCGCCCATGCACTCTAGGGCATGGACACGCGTCCTAACCCGGCGACAAGTGTCAGCAGGTGTCAGCGACAAAGACCTCCGATCCCCTTATGAAAGGAGAGCTTCCCTTGAACAATTCTCACACAGAACCACACCCCAAACCACCCTTGTCCCGAAATCAATAATAGTGCCCACCGACCTGACACTGCCCTTAGATTCGGAACCCGCGTGTTTAGACAGTTTCTAGTGTCCGAACAGCTTAACATGTGAGTAGGATCTCTGTGGTTGATGAGTAGAATCACCGTGGGTTGCTTGTTCCTTGCTGTTATAATGCTTGCATGTTTATTTTCCTTGCATGCGATTTCTGTTGAGCTTGATCATATAGGATAAGTCACTCATGTTTGTTTAAGTTCTTGTCTCGTTGGTTGACTTTTTGTGCTTGCATGGTTGCTTTGTCCTGGAACTTATTAATGCTGGTTTGAGCAAATGGATTCACTGCTTGCTAGTGTTTTCGTAAAACGATATGAGCGCTGCTGTGTTAGGCTATCGGTTGTGCACCAGGTATTGTGATCATGTTGCATATAGCCTAGTATTGTTAGGTTGTGTGCACATCATGCGGGTGGAGGCATGATGTAATGATCCCGCGTTGTCCGAAAAAGTCGTGATTAAGTCACGCCACGGTAGTATGTGGGTCGCTCCCATAGGGGATAATATACGACCGGGGCTCAGTTGTGTATGGAGTTCAGGTGGGTAACAAGGGTCCATAGAACTCGGGATGTTGGAAGACTGTGTCTTGCATTCCAGTCCGGAGACGTGAGTAGAGGGATCGACACTGGGCCCATAGGATGGTTTCATATAGGCATGATGCTTCGGTTGGTTAACTTAGGACTTGCATCACGTTGCATTGTTTCCCTGTTTACTTTATAATCTGCTTACTTGCTGCTGTTGTTTGTTTGGTTACTTGGGGATTGAGTGGGTTATTTTCAGGCTCTGCTTACTGAAAAATTTTTAAATTGCTCATCCCATCACATTTTGTCCTGCCGGTAACCTGAGGGGAAAAACTTGTAGCGGGCCACATTGGATTTAGGGAAGTCAGAGTAGGTTTTTCTGTTGATCTTGTAAATTCGTTAGTGTGTATTATGTACGGTTCTGAACCTCGGATCCGACGTATATAGTTTGCCAAAGTTTTTTCGTATGTAATATATGCTAAGTATGAACGAATGTTTTCCAAACGTTCGCAAGTGACACTGCTTCGCTGATGTTGTTCGGATCGAACCAACCGTGCTAGTCGGTTCCGGGTTGCAAAGCTCTAGTTCTGATCAGTACGGATAAACTGATCCGCGGACAGTTGATCCCGAGTCCCTTGATCCGTTTCTGGAACTTAGAATCGACCATCCTCGGATCAGTACGTAGCGTGGCGTTACCCGATGATCGGGGGCGTTACACACGTGAACAATGAAACATTGTCATATCATTGTGGACAACTAGTTGAGATGCAAACCTCAATAAGTCTGTATAAATAAATGCCTACAATGAGACTCAAATTGTTCTGTTTTAACCATTTTCATTTTCATTTTGCTGTGTGATTCAATGAAAATGAAAATTATGTCTTCTACCTAATATTCTCGTGATGATATGTTCACCTCCAACTTATCCATGAGACATTGATATCTACGTGATAATATATCCACATAAACTTATCCACAAAAACATTATCCATTACAAAGATAAAGATTAGACATTGTCCATGAAACGTCTTTGATTGTCTTCATCGTCCTCTTCTCTCACTAGCAAAACCACTCTCAAAATAGTTGATTGTCTTTATCATCACTCCATCTTCATCTATTTAGTATATAATTACAGAAAGATCCATGTTTTCTCACACGGCTAAAGCTTAAATCTTTATTTCAAACCGGATCTAAAAAGAAAACTCAAAAGAGAGAGAAGAACATGGATCTTATGACCTCCAACGGATTTGTCGACGGTGTCGAAATCTGTTGATTCTTAGGTTTGAGATTATGGATCTTTGGGATTTGGGTAGATGGGTCACTGGTTACCAATCTCCGGTTACCGGAAAAGAAGAAGACGAGCTCTCCTTGAAAATGGATTCTGAATTGAGAATCAAAAGTT